AGTAAATTATAAGAAACAACATTCAAATGAAGGCTTTACTGCTCACTGAGAACACAAATAAAGTATATGAAACAGATAATAATACAATGCTCAAAATAGAAACACAATTACAAAAAAGAAAAGGAGATGACTACGTCTTCGTAGACTTAAAACACAAAATTTATTCAGAAAATTGATATTTCGACCCGTGTTCCAAGGTTTCTTCAGCATGTGTGACAAACGAAATGTAAGTTTTATCACAAAAAGTATAATATGATTGGTAGAAAATTTATTACAACGGAAATAAAAACTTAAAATAGAAAAAAAAAGAGAAATACGAAAATGTATGACTATTATTCATAATGATGGGCTATCAAAATAGTAAATATGTGATAGAAAAATATAAATCAATATATAAATCAATGTCTATTAAAAAAAATGTATAAAAAAAACTGAGAAATAATATATAATACTGTATAATATGAATTAGGAATATGTAATCACTGATGACGAATAGATCCTTGATTTATTTATTTATTTATTTATTTATTCAACCATATTTCGAGAGGGTGACCCATTCAGCGTGAGCTGATCTTAAGGGGCCTTCGACAATACAAGAACATATTTACAAAAAACAAACGTCAACATGTTAAAAGATTATTTACAAAAAAAATTTGAGATGATAAAATTCAATAAAATACAAAGGGAAAACAATCAGTTTAAAAGTAGATAGAAATAAAGATTAAATTGTACTATTATAAAATAAATAACTTTTTAATTTAGTTTTAAAATTGGAAAATGTGCTAGAGTTTCTTATAGAGACGTCAAGTGAGTTAAAATATTTGGGACTTTTATATTTAAAAGAACGTTTAAAAAGTTCGCATTGAGGTCTTGGAACGACAAGGTCCCACCTTGAAATTTGTCGTGTGGACATTCTACCATTTACAGTAATTCTGGCAAGTCCGCGAGCGACAGATTTTAGCAGGGCAAGATTGTTGGAAGCTCGGTAGGCCAGGCAGTCAGTTTGAAAATCAGCACGTTGGGAAATAGTAAGAGTGGAGATAGTGTTAAAGAGTTGAATAGTAGGGGTAGTGTAAGAAACTTGAAGGATGGTCCAAAGGGCTCTGTTTTGCAGTTTTTGAATTTTAGAAATGTGGCTAGGTTTTGAACCTCACACAGTAATGCAATAATCGACATGGGGTAAAAAAGGGGCGTTGTAAAGAAGCAGAGCTGTTTGAAAGTTAATAAAGTATCTAGTTCGGGAAAGGAGAAAATTAGAAGAGTTAAGTTTGTTGCAAAGGTAAGAGATGTGGTTGTTCCAAGTAAGATTGCTGTCAATATATAAGTCGGTATATGTGAGATTTGTCTTTGATTATAATAAATTCTGACATGCGCCTATTACTGGCATTGAATGGCCAGGATCAATCAATGGTTGTGCACTTATACAGCGCAAATAACGTTCGTCTGTATGAGCTTTTCAGGGCAACAGAAAAGAAAAAAATAGACTTACTATGTCTGTTTGTACAACAGAACATAGAGTTGTTAAAAAGTATAATAAAAAAATGAATAAAAACACGGAAACCCAAAATACTTGCTACCGCGACGTTAGAGATTCGAAATACTGTTGCAATGTATAGTGAAGTACACCGAGACTCAAACCAATGTGCGCTTATGAGCCGACCATAGGCCAGTGCATTTTCCGTTCACAGCGCGGACTGAAAGCAAAAATTGTTCATGCATATCACAGTAGTTTTGAGTTTAATCTGCTGCTGGTTTAAAAGCATAAAATGTAAATTGTGTTTATATAGTTTCTTCAAATTGTGTTTATATAATTTCTTCAATAAAATATATAATTTCTTCATTTGACCATGAAAAACTATTCTGCAAAGTTTCATTTTCATAACTGGGAAGTAAGCGATTTTCATTAGGATCAGTTATCCATTTTTAAAAATCTGGTCTGAGACGTTTATCCTTTGAATGGTCCTCATATCCACCCTACTCGGGATCGTCACAAAAATTTAATTATTTCTTTACTAGACCTTGAGAAACTATTATAGAAAGTTTCATTTAAACCCATTGAAAACTTTTTAGAGATATTTAGGTGTGGATCCTCAGAAATTTAAATGACCCCCACATTTACACCCTCAACTGGATCGTCCCCAACACATAATAATTTCTTCCTTGTAATTTCGTTAAACTTTCCTGAAAGTTTCATTCAGATCTATTGATCCGTTTTTAAATATCTGGTCTGGGACGTTTCCTTTGAATGGTCCTCATATCCACACCCCATTCCAGATTGTCACAACAATTTAATTATTTCTTTACTAGACCTTGACAAACTATTATAGAAAGTTTCATTTTTTTAAAGAGATATTTAGGTGTGGGACCTCAGGAAAATGTTAATGACCCTCAAATTTACACCCTCACTGGATCATCCCCAAATAATAATTCTTCCTTGTAACGTTAAACTTTCCCCGAATGTTTCATTCAGATCAATTGATCCGTTATATTTGACATTTTCTTTTGAATGGTCCTCATATTCACCATTCACACCCTACTCCGATCCGGATTTTTACAAAAATGTAATCATTTCTTTACTAGTTGACAAACTGTTATAGAAAGTTTTAATTATACCCATTGATTTTGTTTAAAAAGAGATGTTTAGGTCTGGGACTCAACATTTTAAATAACCCTCAAATTCACACTCTAAACTGGATCGTCCCCAACACATAATAATTTCTTCCTTGTAACTTGATTTAACTTTTGCGAAAGTTTCATTAAGAATTATTGACCCGTTTTTTAAATACAGTATCAGTGTAACTGCTGAGATGTTACTAGTTGCAGTTGTCATTGTATGTTATGTAACACTGACCTTGTGTAGGCTATTGGTGAATATGTAATGTCTACATGCCTGAGTAACAGGTGATCAATAGACTATGAAAGTATGACTGGTTGGCAATTATTGGATTGCTAAAAAAAATCACATGATATAGTTGAAGGGCGCTTATTCAAACGGGGCGCTTAAGAACATTTTCATTTTCAGCACTTATTCGAGAGGGGCCTTATTCAAACGGAGTGCTTATTCGCGTGAGTACGGTATGTACACATTATAAAAGGGCATGTTAAATCATAGAGAAAATTTACTCTATGGTTAAATGGTCGAAATTAAATAAGTCACTGATCACATTTCACCTGGATGTTACCAATCCTATGGAAGGAGACTTGAGACAGCCCTTCTGGCCTATAAACCCTCAATTAGGCCTAATCAAACACCACCACCAACACTGCAGCAGGCAATACTTTTTTATACATGGTTTAGAGATTTCGCTGCCCGCCAATAGTGTTGATTTTGAATAAATATTTTGGCCAATTAGCGCGCCCACGAAAAAACGGGGGAAAAAAATAAAAAGTTGTTCTTATTTTTATTTTGCCCGCAGCTACCATTAAATCTCAAACAATAAGATATGTATATTTAATAAATAATACAGTAT